GTCTCTAAATTAATCCTTAATCCTTATTCATTTCAAAATGAAAAAGTCGCAACATGTTTGCCCGCCTCGTGGGTTATGCAAATTCTCTGCATCAATCCCCCATGCCATTTTCTCACTTGGCCGTGATGCAATACATCTCAGTGTACAGTGTTACTCCGTCGTCAATATGAACGCCATTATTTTTTACATCACCCACCTCCTCCTTACCGTTTTTGGTCTCTCATTGTTCTAGAAAGTGGATCCTGTTTCTCACTTGGCATGGGCCTACCCTACTTTTACTCAAGCTCAATTAATTACTTATGATCAAAAGCCATTTTCTGGTGCTTAAACTCGTTTTCATCGCCATTTCAGGAGAATCGACGGCGGTGTGCCTTTCTAGAGAGCCGTCGTCTGGTGATAGAACCTGTCCAAGCCGATCATGTCGTTTAAAAGAATGATTGTGACCGTGTTCCGAGTAAACTAGCACCTCTACCCCAAAAAGGATGCCAAAAACGTTGAGTTAATCACCACACTACTGAAGGGCAGCGTTATAAATGAACAGCTTCCGAATTGGTGAATACCTCCTGGGACTGTTCAATTGGCTACTACCCAGCCAATTACTAATGCCAGTAAACTTCAATCTCATGCAACTTCTTGGCAGAATCAGAATCAGCATGCTGAAATACAAACCTGGGTTATTGAAAGAGGTGGTAATTGTCGTTGTGCATGACTATATTTTTGTTTTTTTCAAAAAATAATTCTAACCGCGCACAGATAAATAAAACACCAAACAAGTAGCTAGCTCAACACAAGTTACGAATGCAGACTGAGTGGAAGGTTGATTCAAGCCAAGAAGAGGTGAAAGGAGAGGGAAAACAGGACCACAATTAATGGGAGGTGGATGTTCCTACATATAAAGAAAGATTGCGTGGTACTTCTCCTGCCAACAACGGTAGCAAGGGTGACACTATGTTTTTGATGGCGAGAAATCATTCCATTTTCCTCACTTATTTCCTACGGAATTCGAACCCTCACTCGCTGATGGGGAGCCCCAATTCTTCCACCACCATAGATCCATTTGGTGTGCTTTCGGTCGTGTGGAGGTCTTGACATCACCTCTCCCCCTCTACGAACGTAGCGGCGTTGAGCTGAGACCTCCGCCAGTAACGCAGCCCGCGACTCCATCTGGGTGCTGTCGGCTACCGCCGCTGGTGCCAGGGTTTGACGAACAGCAGCGGAGGCTGCACGATTGGCTGGTGGAACGTCACTGTGTCGACCTACAGCGGCACGTCCACGATGGCGTGTCAGTCGGCGCTGTCGACGTGAAGTTAACAACGTTGGCGGCGCTGGAAGGGTCTCGGTTGGGGTTTCCGTGCTCGTGTGTGATGACGATGCTGATGACGATGAATCATCAGTGGTACGAACATCTATGTCAGAGGTGTCCACTTCATGAATGTTCATTATAGACCAGTCTGAGGCTGTTGATCAAAGAAGTTGCACATAAAATACGCATACTTACGTCCTAATCAGTTAGTCAATGATGGGGAATTATGGATAATGATAACAAAACTCATTGACTGAAATAAAACTAGACATAGCCAGTGAAATCTTGACGATGCCTCAGACCACCAATCAGGTGAATAGTTGGTTGACTGACAGGCAAGTGAAGAATGGATGCCGGCACCTCCGATGACTAATTGTTTTGTTTTCACTTTTCCCACTGAATGCCAAAGTATAAACAAAGCAATAAAAATCTTTTGACCAAAACGCATTCTTTATAGTCCATTTGTTCTTCCTGAAATGAAAATGAAAGTCATAATTTTAAGCGAAGAGGAGAACAAGGGTTGAAATGATGGACGCTTGTAAAGGATTGTTACCGGTCAAAACAAAGGATAAATGAAATTGTTTCGAGATCTTGAAGCATTGCAGTGTTCTTACGCCTTCCAGACTCTTATTTAACAAGACTGACCATCAGTACAAGCCACATTTTACTCCCATATGCCAGCGTTCATGGTTGTAAATTGTCGATGCGATGAGAATCGTGTTCAAGATAGCCTCGTCTGCCAAATTGCATGTGACCTCGTAAGGACACGGGGCTCATGAAACACGATAACAAAACAAATCGACCATGAACATCAAAAAATGAACCTTGCTGAATACAGTAAATATGCTTAACACGTTTGAATTCCCTTCAAAATAAGTTCCAAGCATTTAAAGCACACTGGCAATTGTGTTGGTTCACAGTATTATTTAAAATGTCGCATGCCATCCGGCCAACTCAATACACAAAATGGACGGACGAGTT